CAAGATCAGACAGGCCCGCCTGCGACTCTTTGGTCACTTAGCCAGAGCCGAGCCACCCCTGGAAGCTGCCAGTCTACTGAGGGCAGCCACGCCTGCAGGCTGGTCCAGACCCAGAGGCAGACCCAGACGCAGGTGGGGAGACCAGCTGAATGCAGACCTCAGCACAGTGGGCCTTGATACAGCTACAGCCTGGCTGAGGGCGCAGGACAGAACTGGCTGGAAGTCAACTTGGAAAGGCGCGACGCTCCCCGGAGCATGCGGTCCTGAGTGAGTGAGTGAGAATATACCAGGGGAGTTGGTCCGCTAATTATAAGACAGTACTGTAATTCCTGACTTTTTCACTGTACTGTTACGTTCACTGTCTTCACTCTCAGTTCTGTACCGTGAACTTATTATTACAATTAACAAATAATTCCTGGACTTTCTTTTTCCTGCACCTGTTGGCATCGTGAATATAAAGTTCCGTGAACATGTACATTTTTCTCAGACCGCGAACTTTTGCTACCATGAACATAAAGTGAATTACAGTAATTTGAGCGGCAAACTGTTCTTACTACTACTAGTCTTGTTTAAAGTTAAAACTTTTGATCCAACACAAAAATTCTCTCACCTAGAGCTTTCAACCAGTCACTCTGGTCTTCCTCAGTAGACTGACCCAGTGAAGCTTGTCACGTGGCTTCTTTGAAGTGTGACGTCAACACTGGGTCAGAGTGACTGGTTGAAAGCTCTAGGTGAGAGAATTTTTGTGTTGGATCAAAAGTTTTAACTTTAAACATGTAACTACCAACACAGATGAACTTTCATGATAGTACTACTAGTCTTAGTTTTATCTGTCTATTTGGCCAAATTTTCTACTCTTTCCACCTGCTTCCTGAAGCCTGGTAGAGGCTTTAGAAGCAAGCCCAAGCTCTACAAGATCACTCGAGTACAGAAGGAGAAAGAATCTGATTCCCTGGATCCTAATTCCCCCAAGAAACCCCCTTGTGCCTGTAAACAAGCCTGTAATAGGTTTCCGGTCCAGGTCTGTTCCTGCCATTGTGTAGCCATTTTTGGCCCCCTTTCTGTGTGTAACCCAAGTATGAAAACCACACATTCACCAGGGGGAAAACTCTGGCATTCTGCCTCTGTCTGGGAAAGCCTGGAGCTTCGGAAACTTTACCCGAGCCTTGGGAAGTTTGTAAACAACGTTCGGGCAGCTCCAGACCTTTTTTTTGCAGGAAGGCAAGGCTAGTAGATAGTGGTTACGATTTCCTTATCTTAAGGGCCAGTCTGGACAAATCGTTAACAAGGTGAACATCTTGAGAAGGCATTGGAGACATCTTTTCCAGGCAAACTTGATGAGCTAGGAAATTGAGTAGACTTGAACACCGAAAACGATTTTAGTCGGTCACTACTGGAAATTTCCTGGATAAAGCAATCTGTATGCTATTGATATATACTATTAGCACATGTATAAATTTGTTATTTCATACTATTGGAGGGTAGGCTTGGCCAGCTGCGTTGGGAAAAGAATCCTGGAAATGTCATATTCATCACTTGTAAACTTATGGGTCAAAGACTGCTATGTGGGGCTTGTGACAACAAGGACTGGGTTTTATCACCTATGGACTATTTTTGTCAGTCACACCACATTCTTTCAACAGTGTAACTAACTAGCATTGTAGAGATTTTATACTGCAGTCATATTATACCAATAATATCTATCTGCAATATTGAAATATACAAATGTATAATAATGCGTATTTCAAACTTGAGTGATCTATGTATCAAACTACAAATGGCAAAATTCATCACTTAATGAGGGCCTGCATGGGGGGTCCCGACAACGCTCTATGCTAAATTTTGAGACCCGGCTACGTCTTACGCTACAGTAGCGATTACACTTAACGATAAATTCCAAGTGGCTACAACGCATTACGTAGAATTAAAACTCGAATTACGCTCTATGCAAAATGTGCCAACTAAGCTCTACGTTGAATTAGAGTGGTCTGATTAAAACGGCCGATTACGCTCTACGGAAAAGGGCTTGCGGGGCCCCCCTTAATGTCCCACTGTGTTCAATGGTTACTATGTAAGCGTACCCTCTATAAAAGAAGTGCCCCGTATATGACTTTGTATCGCATTCTGATATCGCATATCATAAGCAGATAGCTGTCACAGCAGGATTCCTGCCTGTAAATCTTTGTACGGCCGCTGAAATACCCGACATGGTCGGCATTTCTGTGTGTCTTCCTCCACGACAGCGGATACAAATCACCGAAGGGGGAATTCTATCAGTGACAACATTGAGCATGTGAAGTGAAACAGTCACAGCTGAAAAATATACAAACCAACATGACCCCAGATTCTCCAGGCATTGGAAGATTGTCAGGTGTTGTTTGAAAGAAGTCAAGCACAGCAACATAACCGTTAACAGCATCCAATGCGATTTCAGGCCAGCAAAACTGGAAATATTCTGAATAAGGCAATCTGTATGATATTGACACATACTGCTTCACAAGAGCATATTCCAAACAGTATTCCATACTTTGGGTATTGAAAACAGCAGAAACAAGCCCCGAGATGAGTCCTTTATTTTATGGGTGGTACCCTAAAAATCAGCCCAGGGCCCTTCCAGTAACCATTTTCGTCAGAATTTTGTGTCTTTTTGTTCCAGGAGGGTCAATATACACCGGGATCGTGTGATTTCAACTCAGTATGTAGATAAATGACTGGAATATTGACTTTGAAAAATTGTGTTTCTAAGGCTGAAGCCCTAAAAGCATTGGATGCCTTTAAAGGACACTCTACTGGTATTGTAGAGTACATGTAGATGACTTGATGTCCACGAGTACGGTTTTGGTACCCTCACTAGATACATGTAGCTTTAAATAACGCTTGTACTTGTTGTAGTTAGATGTGCATTTAGGTTAGGTGTGACACTGACAGGTCCTTCTGTATAATATAGCCAGCTGTTACCACCCCGTGTGCCTGTAGTACTGGCTATGCAGATTCAGCTACTGTAAATCACGATTTTTTTTCACTGCACTTTTACATTCGCGACTTTCATTACCGTGAACAAATAATTTGTCAACTTTATTTTTTCTGCACCTGCCGCCACCACGAACATATAGTTCCACGACATGTCCACTTTTCTCAGACCGCGAAGTTAAATGCTACTGGGAACATAAAGTGGTTTACAGTACCTACATTTGTACTTAAGGTTTTCTGCTAGGCATTTAAACAGGCTAAAAAATGCTGTTGGGTCACAATGACCCTGGACTTAATTGCAGGACAATTTTCTATATGTCATTTATGACGTCTACGCTTCAAACTGATATCTGACAACAGATATAGCTTTGCCTTTGCGGGGAAGAAAATCTATCTTCATTGACACAGTATTATAAGAGTTGTGTGATCTTAATTCACAAAGGTAAAAAAAAACAATGATTTACATAAGAAAAACACACCCTTTATAAAGGTATGCCATTCTCTCAAAATGGGGGTGTGGTCTTTACAATTACAGCGCCCTAGAAAAAAGACCAACCCAGTTTTCGCTGCCAAATTATAATGTCATCAGTAGTCTTGTGTAGCCACCCGTATGGAACATGATACATGTTGAACATCTGTGTGTGTGTGTCCTGTGTTGACATTATTAATCTATGACGAATTATGATATGATTCTAATATGACCTGTTTTCATGGGCATGAATAACAGCTGATCTTATCAAAATTCAAAAGCGTTTGAAGAATCAATGGACACGCATTGGTATGCAGGGTAAATACAATGAAATCAGTGAATGTTTTGACATTTTCAAAATCATGTATTTGGTTTGATTGACGTGTGTGCACTACGTGTTGTCTCCCTACATTGTGATTAATGTGTGTTTAACGTATTTAAAGGTGTTCGTCATTATTGGTCAATTTCCAAAACAGACATACCGTATTGTTTCTTTTGTTGTTCCTGCGGGGCTGTACGTTCTGATATCGCTGTGGCGGGGTTCCTAACAGGCTAGTCTGCTGCTGTTGCTGCTGTTGTTGCAGGAGTAGCTGTTGTTGGAAGTTGGCATTGGCCAGCACGTTAGCGGACTGGTTCCCCACGAGCCCGGCGGGGCTGTTGCCGAGAAGGCCGGCTCCCAGCGCGTTGGGCACCGAGGCCATCCCCGCGAGGCCGCCCTGCTGTTGCGCCATGTTGCGCTGCATCTGGAGGGCCGAGTTGGCGGCTTGGAAGTTCATATTCTGCAGCTGGCTGGCCTGCATGGTGTTCCCCAGGACTTTGGCGATCACAGCGAGCCGTTCCATGTTGGTGCCGCCCGGTACGGCCCCGAGCAGGCTGCTCGCCAGCCCGCCTTGGTTGCTCGGGCTCACCGCTCCCGACCACAGGTTCGCCGCCTGCCCTTGCGCGGCGAAGTTCTGCCCGTACCCCTGACGGTGTGCCATTTTTTTCTCTCGTCACCGGAAAACTCTGGTTTACTCAGAACACGAGGCGTACCGCCCCTTTCCGCGGATAAAGACGGAAGAGTTAGCGGCGGTAGTTGTCAGGACGCCCGTCCCACCTGCACCTCATGTTTCCATCTCAGCGGAATATACAGACAAGATGGCGGAGGGAGGGATGGACCATGGGTAATATTTTAGGGATGTTCCATTCATTCGGAGGTAGAAAAGCCACGGTGATTTAAAAAAGGAGAGGAAATTGTAAAAATCCCACTAAAAATTATGCACAAAAAAAGAAGTGAAGCTGAGTTCATTTATTATAATAGGTATGTGAATGTGTCGATTTTTTGCTACTTTTTAAATAACTTGTAGAAACTCAAGTGCTTCTAAAATGTTTCCCTTGAGGTTTCTTAATATTTGTCTCAACCAATTTTACCGACATTTTTCCAGTCCTTGTAAGCGTTACCAAATGATATGAATGATCATGCAAGAATAAAAATGTATATCTTCTGTGTTCCGCTTTGTAACATTTGCACAAGCCTCAAAGCCACCTTGCGGAAAAACTTGGAACGACAGTGGTACCTGCGACCACACAAAACAAAATCATCATCATCATGGCCGAGTCCACGTCGGACGAAGCCGCCAACTGTCCTGATGTTTCAAACGTTTACGAAGGCCTCAGGCACAGGAAAACACCACAGGATCCCACCGATGACACCAGGTACACAGAGGAAAACACCAAGAACATGTCAGAATCGTCAAAAACCGACAAGTCCACCCCTGTTCACCTGGAAACGGGCACTTATTGGCTGACTCGAATCGTTTTCCTCAGGTCTTTGGGACTGATCTACTGTGAGTTCAACGTTTTGTTTTCTTTAACTTGTAAGTTTGGACACGCTTTCCATGAGTTTCACCCAAAAGAATTATGCAAAAAGATTGTTATTTATAGGTGCATGTGTACAGCCTGGGCGACGGAGAATGTTTGTTTTTGTTTTGAAAGCTGAAGGGGGCGGGGCTACGAATTACTTCCGGGTGGGGTGTATACATTTGGGGGAACATGTGCATTATTTACCCATTTGATAGCTTTGTTGTCCGTGTGATGATATACCTGGTAACTAGTCACAGTTGAATGTGGCACCGTACTTGTAGTTTCTGTTTCTATCATTTTACAAACAAATCAAGCTTCCTTGCAATAGAAGATGACAGATATGCCATGCAAACCGATAGAAATATATCTTATGACTTGTTATGTTATAATGTGAGAAAATAACCCTTCACAAGACTGCAACATTGAAGTATTTAAGGGGTTCGAACACAGAACCTCTTTGATCCAGGGCAAACGCTCTAACCATTGATTTGGTAAAAATTATTGTAGGTAATAGGTAACGTTATGTAGCCTCTACCAGGCTTGGGGAGGCGGCTGGAAAGAGTAGAAATCGGCCAAAATAGAGAGATAAGCATGCCAAGGGAGTTTGTCCGTTGAGAGAACAGTTCGCTGCACCCCGTTCTCTCA